GATACCGGTACCCATCCCTACTAATGACTGCCATGGAGTTAGAACCAAAAGAAGTTATTGAATACAAAACAATAGAAAAGAAGACGTTTCATTTCCAGTTACACAGCAGAGACTGCATGTTCCTGATTTGCTTGTGATTCTTCCACCTGCTCCAGTTTACTTCCACAAATCTAGAGGTACGAGTTTGTCTGTCTCAATGTTTGTACTTTTAAGGTCTAAACTACAGCATTTCAGGGGTCTGTCAATAAACATTTAAAAAGATACACAATTAAACTCCAAATGAGACAAAAAGGATTCCTATCCTAGCAATGTGAGGTAAATGATCTACAAGCAACAGAAGCTGAGAAGACTTCTGAAAAGGGAGAGGGAGAAGAACTGATTGAGACTACGTTGAAAAAAAGTCCTGAGGGAATACTCCATTTGGAGTGTTATACTTCTCAGCTGCACTATTGCCTTTTCATTAGCTGGCATTTAGCATTCATTACAGATCCATTTCATCCCTTTAAGGCCGCCCTTTTCACTGCCCTCCCTCTAATGGAGCCAGCTCCACCAAAAGCTAAGGAGCAGTTTTCCATTTGCTTGCTTTTGATCTACACTCGAACGTGTGCACGCACACGCACACACACGCACACACACGCACGCACACGTGTCCACACAGATAGATGTGCTGTCCTATATATGTGCAAAGACACTGGCTTTGTTTCTTATATGGAGAAACACATACTGCTTAAATAAAAACTCATTCACAGCTGTAAGAATATAAAAGTTCTGTCATCTGTTTGACGTCTTCTGTGGACTGTTTCATACGATATGATGCCCTGAGGCTGAAGCACACTTGGATAACACAGTAGGATGAAGATCACCAGCACGTCCACCTCTGAATGCTTCAAAAAAAGGGACGTTTCTGGTCTTAGTTTAAGCTCATGCTGAAGCATCTGTGTGGCTGAATTGAAACAGTTCTGCAAAGAAGGGTCAGACTTCCTCCACATCAGTGTGAACAATTATTTGCCATTTACAGCAAAGATTGCAGTCGCTGCAGAGAGTGACAGTTTGCTTTCCTTAATACATGAAATAATCATTTAAAATCCTGGCAGTCACCAGTGCTTTTACTTTCTGAAAGCTTGCAGTTTATAATCACCTGCTTCGTTTGTCTTCATGTTCTGTGATTACAAATGTTTTCCTGACTGTGCTCCGTGACAGTGGATGTTATGTAGGTTCATTTTCAGCTGCAGCCTGTCTTCTTGTAAAGTGTTACATTAATCTTAAAGTGGAGTAGCTGAATTCATTTAGAAGCTTTATTCCTCATAGTTGCTAATGGAAATCTGTGAAATCAACGAGGTGGGTGGAGTTTACACGCTGAACGATTTAGAAATGTGTCCTTATGAGCAGCAGTGTTGGAATAGTGTGCTCTACAAACACTCGCCTTCCTTATAGTTGTTTCTTTTAACGACAGGCTGCTATTATAGTCGCTACATATTCATAAGACAAGCTTTATATTGTTTTCCAAATCAAGCCAGGCTTTTCACCACTTCATGTTTAAATCATCATGTTTACATTTTTTCTGTGAAAGTGTTATTTATTTATTTTTTCCTTCACTATGTGCCTCTGTTGTTTTCTCTGACTCTGGCCCCATTACTTTCACCTCTTGCTGTTATTCTACCCTTTGTCTTCTCAGCACCCATGCCCTATGTCATTTCCATCCGAGCGCTCAAACCCTTTGAGTGTGGCGCAGATTAAGTAATTTCCTTAACTTGTGCTGGAAAGGAGAGCGCGTCAGTTAGTCGAACCTCAGATGCAGGAGGAACAATGGGGTTTTCGTCCTGGTTGTTGAACACTGGACCAGCTCTTCATCCTCTCAAGGATACTTGAGGGTGCATGGGAGTTTGCCCAACCAGTCTGCATGTGTTTTGTGGACTTGGAGAAGGCGTTTGGCCCTTCGTCCCTCGGGGGGTCCTGTGGGAGGTGCTTCGGGAGTATGGGGTGTCTGGCCCATTGCTACGGGCCATTCGATCCCTATACAACCGTTGCAAGAGCTTGGTCCGTATAGCCGGCAATAAGTCGGACTCGTTTGCAGTGGGTGATGGGCTCCGCCAGGGCTGCCCACAGATTCTGTTCATATTTTTAAGGACAGGATTTCTAGGCATAGCCAAGTGGCGGAGGTCTTTCACTTCAGTGGCCTCAGAATCTCATCTCTGCTTTTTGCAGATGATGTGGTTCTGTTGGCTTCATCAGGTGATGGCCTCCAGCTCGCACTGGACCGGTTTGCAGGTGAGTGTGAAGCAGCGGGAATGAGAATCAACACCGTCAAATCTGAGGCTATGGTACTCAGCTGGAAACGGGGGGAGTGCCCACTCCAAGTCAGGGACAAGTTCCTGCCCCAAGTGGTTGAGTTTAAGTATCTCAGGGAGCCGGAGATCGACAGGCGGATTGGTGCTGCACCGGTCCATCGTGGTGAAGAGAGAGCTGAGTGTAAAAGCGAAGCTCTCAATTTACCGGTCGATCTACGTCCCTACCCTCACCTATGG